AACTGCGTGATACCGCGTGATACTGCGACACGCCCACCGGGGTATGCCGCGAAATACCTCACCCATTTTGAATGGCTGCATCTGTACTTGCTGAATACTTGCCATCTAAGAATTTAAGTTATCGTCATTTCCACAGAAGGGAGGTCACCATTGACATTACCATTTTTACCCCCTGTATTTGCTGATCCACAGATCACAGATTTTTGCCAATTTTGAAGTATCAGACTCTTTCAGTTTCTCCCAAAATGGGAAGGAAATAGGAGAAAAGTTCAGCTGGTTGTGGTCTCTCACCATTTAGACCTTCTTGGGAAAAAATGAAGCAGAAAATATCTGTGGAGAATAGTAAAACAGCAAAAAAGTGGGGGCCAGTAACAGGAGATCTAGTATCAGGCTGCAAATGCAGTATACCAGTGATATGTTCTATCTCTTTTCTAGGTTCTTATATTTCAAACCATAATACTTTCACTCTCAGTAGTCTTATCAATTTACAGTAAGATACTCCCTTTAAAAAAGGTTCTTATGTATTTAATTTTTATGGAAGATGCTGTAGTTTAGAACGCTATGACACTTACCAGGAGATCAGGAAATGTTTGTTTCTGCATTCTAAACAACTGTGATTTCAAGTAGATCTACATTGAAGCCCCTATAGAGAATCAAGGTTATTTGCTCTTTGTTCAGCTTGAAGCACAGTTTTGCTGTTTATCTCCATTGAACTTAATGAGTATGTCTAAACCAATTACTTGTGTTTTGTTTGTCAAATATACTGTGACATTGCACATTTGAGTTTAATCAAACTAAGAACAGAAGGCCCTATCCCATTTTAAGTATACAAGGGGTGGTAAATTAATATTACTTAGCAAATCAAAATTGTTTAGCAGTTATGATTGTGGGTTTTAAGTATTTTAAAGAAATAAACAAGAAAAATATTCATTTCAATTAATATTTAATCTTTAAAAAATAGATGTTAAGAAATATACATAAAATCATATTTGTACATGAAAATGGATGTTAAAACTATAATGAATAAGTAAAATGTAAAAGATTTTGATTGTGCAACTTTGATTAATCAATATTTCCAAAATAATGCTTTGGACTGCGGAAGGAGCATACAGTACCCAGAATTTGCAAAAAGCAAATCCAAATTGTTCAAAAATGAATAATTACATTTAGTAACTTCTATTTCAAGCTAAAAGGGAGTTTCAGAAGATACAAAAGATATTAATTTAATTAATCAATATAATGGTGTAACCACTTGGATGTGAATATTTATTACACTATTTGAACACTCTTGCTTACACATTATTTGAATGAAAGTTAAAACTATTTCTACCATCACCTATCTCTTTGTTATTCAGTTGCCACTTGCAAATGTTTGTTACCATTCAGTAAGTAATTAATTCAACATCTCAATTAACTGCCCCCGCCCTCCTGCCTTTTCATTCCACTCCAGTGAACATGGACCTGTTCTAATGTAGGCTAATTTCTTGCCAAAACATTTCAATCAGTGTCTGTGCTAATTAGGCCAAAGAGGAATGCTGAATGTTAATGAGTTACTCTGATGCCTTTCTGCGTCCTTGATTTTCATGCTAATTTATGTAAAGCAGTTCCTCTACCATTCCATTCTCCTTTATGTTAACATTAGTGGTCCCGATTTTAACCCTATATCCCATAATATTCCTGGAAATACTATAAGCATCATATAAATCATAAGCTTTGGTTTGTAAATATCTCTTGTAGTATGTTCCTCCATCTGGTATAAAAATATAGTATGTTCAAACTTAAACAGTCCTTAGAAGTGGCACAACACTGTATAACAAATTAAAACCTAAGAATTTTTTTTCTAGATGTGTTTTAACTAGATTATTTTAACTAGATTTGAAGAGTGGGGTAATGTTATATATACAGAGACCTAGATTCTATACAAGCATGGCATTTCACTAAATTATGCAACAATGCAGTAAAGCACATTGTGGACTGGTTAAAAAAAACTTTAGTAAAAGCAAAGTGTATAGAAATTCCACAAGAACATTTGTAAGTATAAGAGCAATAATGTGTCTTTTCAGAGCTGATATGTGATGCAGTTTAAACCTTTGGATTGGCATGTAATCTGTTGAACCTGGTCAGATCATTGTTTCATGACAGAACACAAAAGAAACAATTATTATTTTAAAAATGATTTCATGCAGTAAGTGATAGAAAAGGTTTATTTATATTTTTTTATCGCTACCCATAAAACTTTAAAACTACAAATATGTACTAAGTCAAACATTTCTGTTTATTTTTATTATGCTGTAGTTTTGTGCTTTACAAGATGTGTTGCTTCAAAAATTAAGTGAGAAGAACTGAAAAATAAAATACATTTCCTGAAATAATTTAAAGTAGAAAATTTAAGTGTTTAGATATTAAACACTATTCATATATAAAAAGAAATTCCCTAATTTTTCAAATACAAATCTACACTTTCACTACTGTCCATATTCAAATGTTTGCTAAAATCAGTTATACTCACCTAATATTGCCATTCTGGTTAGATATACCCATCCATTCTGTTTTGTCCTCTTGGCCCAAGTTACTTCACACATATTTTGCAGCTATATTATCCAATTGTTAATTGCTAGTAAATCACCTTGGATAAAAACAAATGTATTAAGAATTGTTCACTTATGTGAGAATAAATGCAACTAAATTTCTTAATGAAGACATGGATTTTCAAAGGAGCTAAAAACAGATGCTACTTTATACATCTCAACAGTACATGTGTAGAGTGGTCTAATATAAAACCATCTTTTGAAGGGTCTGAAATACAGTACAGTATGTAGTTCTGACTTATAAACCTAAACTAATGATCCACTCAATGAAAAAGTGTAAATTACTGTATATGTCAAATTCCCAATTTATATATTTATAATTTATAAGATTCTCTCAGTAAATGGCAGGTCATGTTTTAAAAAGTTATGCTTCTGTATTTGTTTCTGAGTAAAGTTCCACAGAGTGGTAGAAATGTGGAACAAAGTATAATCCCAATTTTGTGATTTTTAATTCATGTAGTTAAAGTTCTCTAAATTAAATGTGGTCCTAGGAATTCTTTTAATTTAATGTTCAAATTTCAGAATATATACTCCTTTCACCTGTACACAACAAAAAATCAATTTGGAATCAGGGCCAGTTGACAAGAATAACTCCTCAGATGTTGTCATTTTAGATTGCTGAACCTAAGTACCATAAAATGGCTGCAGTGCAGCCATTTTGTTTTCGGAGAGCAGAAAATACTGCTTTGTGCAGGCTTTGGGGAGGCAGCTGGGGGAAGCCATGTTTAAATTCAGCTGTTTACTTCTGCCTGTTAAACAACAAGCTTCCGCAGGGTCGTCAGGTTGGAATCAACCCAGTTTTTGATGAAATGGGCATTAATTCCTGGCAAGAGTCATGCAGCTTTCTGTATCATATGCCAGCCTTTCTGGATGCCAGTGAGTTACGCTGTGGGCTTTCACAAATTAGGGTATTTTCTGTGGTGGCTGTGGTTTGTTGTTTTTTTTTATTCCGTTACCGTGAACAATGCAATATTTGTTGTCATCTTTTTGTACTTATGTTGTACCTGTGTTATGTCATCTTAAATATATTTTTTCCTTGGTTTTAATTCGTTCCTCAGGTCTGAATGTTTTTAGGGATCTTCTGCAGTCTAGAACAATGCAATAGCTAGAACACTTGCAGCTTTTGTCCCTTAGTTCTGGTTTTGAACCAGGCCCAAGCTTACAGGACTTAAACTTGTCTTATCCTACATGAATATTCTAAACTTGTTCTTTTACCACCCTGTATTTGGGGATTTATCAGTGAGATGCACTGCACTTACACTCAGGTTTGAGAGATACCTAAATAGATTCCAAAAGAGTAAAGATCTTACTTTTTTCTCAAGTGCATATGGTCCTCACTGTCTGAAACTCTGTCCATATTTCTAAGAAGACAAGGTTGTATGTTTTTGTATTGTAAGTGCACTTACATGTGAATGGTACCTATAATTTAAAAAAATCTTTAAACTAAATGTATCAATTAATTCACTTATATACTGAATATTAATTCAATCCTAGTAAGTAGTTGTAAAGTTTCTAGATGAATGAACGGATGACAGAAAATGCTGTCCTGTGCTATATATGTGTTTGTTTTGATGTAATTTGTGTGAGTTTGTATACACAAAGTGTCTATAAATTCATATACAGATACAATACTGTACTTTACAACTACAGCTTGGTATTTTGTGACAGGAGTTTAACTGTATCAATGTGTACAACAGTGCATTCCCATTGCGTAGAACAATGAAACAATGCTTCTTGCCATTTATGAAGGAAACAAACTATTGGTTTAGTCCTCATTATGGGCTCTGCAGTCATTTCGTTATTTTGGGGACAGAGACAGGTCAACATCTATGTCTTTTCAAGATAATATAAGAAAATATGCAGAAAAATAAAAATACTGTAGTATGAAACTACAAGTCTTTTTAGTGCTATTCATAACTGCATAATGCCTCAAAGTGACAAGGTGCGGGATCAGAATTCAACTATTTTTTTCTTTTTCTTTAGATATGGTGAACTGCCAGCCTTGTTTCTGCAAATGTAATGCTGTCCTTGGGGCTGAGGTAGTAGATTGAATAGTTGTGGGGTTTTTGTACTCCCTCTGAGATAACTATACAATCTACTGTCTTTCCTAAGGAGACAGTCAAGTCATCTACCATTGAGGAAGTACCAACCGATGAAGCTGTGAAACATGTCGACCATAAGTTTTACTGCATACAAACTTTAGGTTGTAAACTCAGTCTGTTTGGATTTTTTTACTTTTGATTTTTTAAATCAAAAACACTGTACTGTATACTTTTTACATTTCTGTTTCAAATACATTTTTGCTAGGATTTATACACAAATTGTTCAAGAACAATATTCATAATTCTTTTTTAAAAAGTGACTCCTATTTCATGTCCAAGAGTCAGGCCTTTCAAGGTTTAAGAAGGAGGTATTCCGTGTCTCTGCGAGGTGAGGTAGTAGGTTGTATAGTTTGGTGGGAGGAATTACATCCTATTCAGGTGATAACTATACAGTCTATTGCCTTCCTCGACGGTCATGCATGCAGCAAGAGAGATGTTTCCACTTTTGAGGAAAAACGCAGAAACACAAAGATGCATTTGGAAGATACACTTATTAAAATGTATATTATTCCCTGAATTATGTGGTCCATTACTTTATACACAATTGCATTTGATGTTGTTTTGTACAGTATGTTGTTTCCCAGAAGATCTGTAATTTTATTTGAAGTGTACTATATAACCTTGTGAACAAATAGCAGTATTAGTAATACAATTGCTATTATATGTACTGCAATTGCAATTGGTATTACTATTTAGAACCAACAATCATATCATAATATTGTTACAGCTTTGGGGGACTAGGAAGTGTCTCTAAGAGTTTAGATAAAGTGTTAAACACCTGGCAGTGTAAACATTACCAGCTTCAATGCGGAGGGGGTGTTTTCCTGATACGTAGGGGAGCTTCTGATCAAAAACATTGGAAAGTTTACCTTAGCTTACTTAGTTAATTAAGTTGTGGATAAATTATTGACAATGAGCAGTCCAGAAACACGCCATATAAGATCATATCAACACAACAGAAGGAAGAGAAACAGAGAATAGAGAAAAAGAGGAGAAAGAAGGTCAGACCACCAGAAAGAGGAGTCAGGAGGAGTTGGAAACTTGAAGGGTGTGCCAGCCTATATCCCCTACTTCATGATCATCTAAACAAAACCTGATTTGCTTGTTATTCTGTATTTGTAGGGAACGTGGGTTTCCTGGGTAAAAAGATACCTCGTTAGAGAAGTCTTTCCTGTTTGTGGGTGCATCTTTAAAGATTAACTCCCATTCATTTTTTGTCATCTGGGTTTGCAGAGAGAGAAATATAACTTCTGGTTGTGTTACATTTAATTAGAAAGCAGCTTATCTCTTATTTGGCCTCTGCAGGCATTATTTAAGAGTTCAATATTTAGTAGCAGTCTGTAGTTTTCTCAGTGATTGTGATGTTAGGCCTCTGAAACACCTTGTTTTTATATACTGTAAATATTGCACCATTTTCATAACCCCCCATTTGTAACAATATCTTTATTATCAATGTTTCTGTATAACTGGCCGATATTTGTGTTCAGGTAAAATATACAATGTGTTTTCTGTGAACAAAAACAAATAAAGTTTGATTATTTGATAAAGTCGCAACTCTTCTTTTAATTATTGCTTAAATAAAAAAGTAATCAGAGTAGAGATTGAATTCCAAGTCAATCAATCAAAGTTTATTTATCAAATGCACAACAATACAGCGTGCAACAGTAGTTGCTGGCAATGAAATGTCTTTTCTGCAAGCTCACCGGGGGGTAAAAATCACAAAATTAAAGTTACAAGATAAGGTTTCATAATAATACATAATAATGTACATAGTAATGCACTTCATGATAACTGATGTGAATGCAATGGGGCAGTAGTCATTCAGGCAACTGACTGGGATTCTTAGGGACAGGGAAAATGGTGGTTTCTTAAAGCAGGAAGGAACTATAGACTTAGCTAGATAAAAATCGAATATGTCTGAGAAGAAATGTGCCAGCTGGTCTGCACACGCCTTCAGAACACAGCCAGGGATAGCATCAGGGCCAGGAGCCTTGTGTGGATTGGTCTTTTTAGAAACTTTACACACATCCGCTCTGGACATGATCAGTGAGTTTTCATCTTGGATTTCTGGAGTCCTTCTGGCTGGATCTGCGTTACTGACCTCAAACCGAGCATAGAATGAATTTAGCTCATCAGGAAGAGAGGCAGACTGTTGGGTGATACAGCTGGTTTGCGTTTTATAGTCTGTAATGGTGCGTATACCACTCCACATGTTCCGTGTGTTGCAGCCATGATAATATGACTCTAATTTAACTCTATAGTTGTATTTAGCTATTTTGACGGCTTTCCTGAGGTCGTTTATGGATTTTTTGTATTCATCCATATTGCTAGAATTGAAAGCAGCTGTCCTAGCTTTAAGTTTGGCGCGTATCTCACCATTTACCCACAGTTTCTGATTTGGATATGTGCGAACAGTAATCCTGGTAACCACGTCTTCAATGCATTTACTGATGTAGCCAGTTACATAGTCTGCATACATATTGATATTATTTCTGGCAGCTTCGGGGAAGATCTGCCAGTCAATGGTAGCAGAACAGTGACTTAATATAAAATCCGATTCATCCGACCAACGTTGAATGGTTCTTAACACTAGCCTTTACTGTTTAAGCTTATGGTTGTAAACGGGAATTAGCAGAATGGAGGCATGATCGGATTTGCCGAAAGGAGGTCCGGGGAGGGCTTTGTAACCATCCCGGAAGGGAGTGTAAACATTGTCCAATGTGTTTGTTCCGCATATCAGGCAGTTGATGTGTTGATGTAGATTAGGCACTGTTTTCTTCAAGTTCGCACCGTTGAAATCACCCGCTATGATGAATGCCCCCTCAGGATGTGTATTCTCATGTCTGTGAAGGAGGCGATGTATTTCATCCAGTGCCCTTGTGAAATTTGCCTATGGCGGAATATACACCACTACCGATGTGAACTCACTTGGGAGATAGAAAGGTCGACATTTTATTGTCAGATGTTCAAGATATGTAGAGCATGATGTTGAAATAGTCTACATCAGTGGTTCTCAAACTGTGGTACACGTGCCAGGAGTAGTACACCATATGACTCTTGAACTTTGTTGTGTGCGCTGAAAAATCGGGACGGGTTTTCATATTTTCTATTTTAATATGTGTCTAATATGCAGCCTACATACTACGATACAGTGTATGCTAATACTTGAGTGGACACAGAGCCACAATGTAATTCTATACCACTCTATAGAAATGCGTGTTATGAACGTAAGTGACCAATTTTATTTAAAAAAAGCTATCTCCAGCAAATAAGGAGGTAGGAGAATGTGTGTGATTTTGGAATAATGCCAATGGAAATGGGGAAATATGCAAGCTTGCGGATTGCTAAAGCAGGTAAGCCCCACACTATTTTTGAAGAACCTTATTTACCTTTTGCAAAAGAGCTGACGTGTTATGTGTGGAGAAAAAGCTGCTAAATGGCTCGATCTGCTGCCCACTCTGAAAGACACGGTCACTCATAGAATTATTGAAATGGCAGATGATATCAAAAGTACGCTGATAGAGCGCATTAAGATGAGCAGATACTTTTCACTGCAATTAGATGAGTCTGTAGTCGATTTGGCCATTTTGCCTGTTTAGGTTAGATACGAGTTTGAGGGTACATCCCATGAGGACTTTCTGTTCTGTAAGCCACTACCAACAGGAACCATAGGAGAGCACATATTTCAGCTTCTGAATGAATTTATCGAAGAGAATGGCATCGACTGGATAAAATGCATTGGGGTTTGTACAGACGGTGCTAGAGTAATGACAAGCCGACACAGCGGTGTAGTTGCACGGATTAGAGAGGTTGCTCCAGAAATTAATGGACACATTGTAACATCCGCCGCAAGGGCTTGGCCGTCAAGAAAATGCCTGATGATTTAAAATCTGTTAGACTCTGTTGTGAATTGTATCAAGGCTCAAAAAATGAATTCACATCTGCTTTGCTCGACTAAACAGACTCACTCCTCTCACTGAAATGGTGCTTTTTTATTGTTTATTTTTATTTGTTGTTGTTCCTGTTTTTTTCTGTAAAGCACTTTGAGATGCCACCTTT